TAAGAAATGGTTATAAAAACTGAAACAGAAGTGAAACAAGTAGTACACTCTAAAAAATGCTGGGTTGCCTCAACCCAACCCCGGGTCAAATACGGACCAACCCAACCCCTGGGCCAAAAATCTAATGTAAAAAATGTAACCCAACGGTTGGGCCAGTCCACACTTGACCCAAAGCTGGGTCGAAACATGAGGTTCTGTTAGGGTTCTGATGCTGCCTTCTTTCTTTTGAGCTAATCTCTCTCTTTGTCTGGCTGTGTTTATTGTAAGTAAGATTAAACATGGTCTTTACAGGTCAGACAGCAAATTAACTGAAGCTCGTCCAGTAATCAGCTCATAACTGACTTCCAAGACAAACACACACCTACAGACTGGCCTTAGCCTTACTGTGACAATCAGATTGATACATGGAAACACAATCAGGCCGCTAATGGAAATGGATAATGAAGTGCTTTCAATCAGCCTCATGCCGAGTGTATTCATGAGCATAACAATTTAAATTCCTTTATTTCATTAGTGTGATACTTGATATTTTGCCATAATTATATTGTGTGTCATTTGTATGCATTGTACTTTCTAAATTACATCTAGCAGGATTCCACGAGTTTGGGCATGTGGGTAGTTTTCATGAAGCACACCAATGTTTTTTTTATGCCCCAAGAACCCACTTGACCTTCTCCCTAAGTTAGTTGGTAAAACAATCAGTCAGTCTTTCAGTAACACAGTCAGTTGGTCTGTCATTTTGTCAGTAATCCAGGAAATCAGCATTAATCAATTTCACCCCCTTTAGCCATCATGTGTGACAGAAAATACAAACACAGGTTTCTTCCGCTATATAACTTCTAAAAATGGCATTTGTGCTCTTAAAGAAATACTATAGGCTAATTTAAGCTCAATTGACAGCATTTGTAATGTTGAATACCACAAAAACCTGGACTCATTCCTTGTTTCGCTCTCATTTTTTAAGCTAAAATCAAGGTTACAGTGAGAGACTTTTAATGGAAGTGTTGTGCTGTAAAGCTGCTGAAATCACTTTTACAGTTATTTTAGGGGGTTAGAGTTAATGGCGTTCCATTGTCATGACAACAGTGTTGTAAAATTGCATATAACCTTACACAGAAAAGTTTACTAAGCAATTATTTCACATTCAAAATAACGTTAATGTTATCATTTACATCTTGTGGCTGCTTTTGAGAGAGTGAGTATTTATGTTAGTTAACAGATTGGTCCCAACTACTTCACAAGGAATCAGTTTTTGCTGCTAAACATTAATGTTCATTAATGCACACAGAAAATGTTTGGCTGCATCCAAAATTGCTCGAGTATAGGACCTTTTGAAATAAGTACTTACTTTGTTACTATTAAAAAAGCATGTTCTGTATACTGTGGTATAAATGTGTGCCTCATTTGCATATTTAAACCTAACATTTAAGAAAATTCGTAATACAAAACAATTTTCTTTATGTACTCTGATTAATCAGTTAGAGATAGTAAGGTGATTTCTGTTAGTCAAAGTGCCCCTATTATGGATTTTTGAAAATTACCGTTCATGCAGTGTGTAACACACACAAGTGAATGAAAACATCCTGCAAAGTTTTAAATCTGAAAGTGCACCGTGTATAAAGTTATTGTCTCTCAAAAGAAAGAGTCGACTCTGAATCATTGAAATGAGTCATTTTTAAAACAAATCCCAAGCCGTTTCATGTTGACGTCAACATGAAACATTAGCATATTGCCCGCCCACTTGCTGGTCTTTCTCGTTGGTCGGAATGAAAATGCAAATTCGTTCTTTGCCACTAGGTGCCGCTTTTGGAGCGATAAAAATAGCGGTTTCCCTGGTAACGCTGTACACAAAGCAGCACTGCGCTCACAACGCTGCTTTATCAGGCATTACGGGAATAATGAAATGAAAATGAGACCAATCGACCAATCACCGCAGATTAGCGTCACACAAGGGAGGGGTTTGGAAAAATGAACCGTTAAAGGGGTCATAGGATGCTACATGCCACTCCCAAAACCAAAATATGAACCTTTCATAACCCATAATATGGGCACTTTAAATTGTTTACCCTACTTACTTTTGTCTTTACTTAAGTGTACATTTGGGCCAACAGGTTTCAGATTATTGGTGCAATAAAGTGAGTAAGGATTTTAGTATTTGGTAATACTAAATGGGCATGAAACTTTGATCACATTAAGGTTGTACTCTACCTGGACTGATATGCTCATTCTTTGAATAATATATTTGCAGGTGGTCTCATAACTAATGAGTTACCAAACTTTGCTCTCTTTCTTTCTGATGTACCACACACACAAACGTCAAATTAATTCTTATGTGTCACACTGCTGTAATACAGTCTCGTCTCCCTAAAGCAAATGTGTAAATGATTAAATCAGATTAATCATCATAAATGATGAATCTAACCTCATACATGTCCTCGCAGACCAAAGTCTGACGATCCACTGCCACAGTGTGCCCAAAAATGAACACAAGACCATCATCGGTCAGGACATGTGACTTCACACTCAGTGATGGTGATCGGTAGATAGTGTGATGACTTTGAAATGGAATAAATTAAGTTGTATAGTATCTGTTGTATTTTTACATTGTTCACTCTCACAAAACAAGGTACAAAACTGTCACTAAGGCCTTTTCAAAAAGGTACAGCAGTTTAGGTATTAATATGTCATTTTAAAGTACTAATATGTATCTTTAATGTACAAATATGCACCTATTTAGGGATAAATAAGGAGCAAAGATCATACCATTTAGATTTAGTATTTCAGGGTGCCACCCCATTGACTGCTTTGTACATTTTTCTGAGCGGTAGAGAAGACTAGAGAAGAATAGTGAGCTATTTAACTGATGGATTGATGCATATTTTTTTCTCCTTTTTTTGCTATGTGCTGCAGACCAATTTTTGAAGAGATTGCTCACACTTTCTTTCACTTTCATTTGCATTTTGGAGAATAATGCATTGGTCTTTTGTTAATTCATCTTTTTTTGTTCTTTCACATTGAGTGTGAAGGATCAAAATGAGAACAAAACGACGGCGGCCATATTTCTTTCCGATGACGTCAGTTTATTCATATGCCGACTGATTAGTGTGAATAATATGCACACACAGTCATTTATTGTGAGAAAATGGTTGAGCATGATTGAGACGGGTTGATTTGTGCACAGCATGTGACGCTAGAATGAGAGGAAAGAGAGAACTGTATGTTTGAAATAATACTGGGCTTCTTTTGGTTGGAAGTCAGCCTTGGGCTGTGCGCTCTAGGTGGTCTCGCTATAACTGAAATAGCTTCAGCTGTGACTAATAAGACTGATAGAGTCTTTGCCACACTGAACTCGTCTATTTCACACTGTGCAATGAAAAAAACAACAACAAATAAATGAAATTAACATCAAAATGAGGCTAGGATACGTTTAAATTGGCGGCTCATTTCTTTTTTTTTTATTTTTTTTTTTTTAGGTTTTTCATTTAGTACTTGTTTTCCATTTGACCAAGAATAAAAAATACTTATGCTAAATATGACATGAGTTGGGGTAAGCTGTGCCACTTTTACTTAAATTGCTCTATAGGCAAATAAATGAGATAAAGGTGAAACATATAAATATAAATGAGAAGAAATAATTTACTGATGCACAATCCCTTTCCATTATCTTATTTTGCTGCACATTTTGCTTTTTTTTTTTTTGGACTAGCCAGGAAAATATTCAACTACATTGAAATATTTTGAATACTTAATACTGATATTAAAGTATAAAATTACTGTATTTGTAATATTAATAATCTTTGCAATAATTGCTGCATTTGGAGTCAAAGCTTACTATTACTAAGTTGTTTTTTTATTTTTATTTTATTTTTTGTGAAAACAACAAACAACAAAACATTGAACTAGCCCAGAAAATATTCAGCTACATATATATGCAAATATATAAATACATATATTTAGAATATTTATATTTATAAAGTATTAATTTATATTAAATTAAAATATACAATTATTGTATATTAATAATATTGGTAATAATTGCTGCATTTGAAGTTGAAGCTTACTATGACACTTTACTTCACGCACAAATTACCCCATATTTTATTAATTAAAATATGTATTCTTTTATTAAATATAATACATGTAATTATTATATTTAATAAATCTAAAAAATAATTTAAATAGATAAAATATTTATATAGTTATTTAACAAAAATCCATTTTATCTAGCTTATCCACCAACATGTCTTACTCTAACCAGTGTAGAAAAACACATCTGACACTCTCAGAAGACTAGAGCTTTACCTTTCTGAAAATAAATAATAGACTCAATCAAAACCAGTCTCTCCATTGGAGTTTTATGACTGGGAAACTGGATGAAACTTCTAGGAGACACCATAGACTGAGGAGCATGTGTTCAGATGCTCTGGTTCAATCATACGTCTGCTGTGTGTGTCGATAGAGGCTTCTGCTGGGACGGATCTCAGAGGATGTAGTGTTCACTCTGATTACAGAACTGTGGACAGACTGTCTTGGTGAATGTCTGTAAAAGTTTGTGTAACTGAATCCGATTCAATACCTTGAGACCATGACCATGGGCGATTCTGCAGTTAAACCCAGGATTGTCCCAAGATTATGGGACGATCTGAGGAACTTGCTCTGTGTTACTCTATAAAGATGTTCCAAATACTCCCCTTGCAGAAGAAAATATCAGTGCTTTATTATTCCTGATCCTCAGATAATACCAATGGACCATTGTTCTCTGCCGTTCACCTCCACATCGCAGCTTTCCTACCAGATTATATTTAAAGAAATTGTTAACCTATGTATGTTGTTTGTCTTTAAATGTAAAGCTGGTAAGGAGATTGACAGTAAGAGATTGGTTGCTTGACAATGTTGAGTTTAAGAGGTAGCAGTTAGTCCCATGCTGGTAGATGTAACATCTACCATTATATGGCTTCAAAAAGCATCATTTTACATTAAATGCTTTTGGGAGACTCTGCAGCAAACAAGATAAATGGGTACTGATGCAGTTTTCCAGGTATTGTAGAATTTGGTTGGGATCCAGGATTACAGAAGCTTTGAAGAGTAGTCATTATAAACCGGTCTTTTATGAT